TAGCTGTCAGGTTATTTTTATAAACACTTACCATAGCTACAATGCTGCTTTTCATTATTGAGAGAGAAAAGATTGGTCTAGCTTAGTGTTTCCATTCGGAGAAAGTGACAGGAATGTCCTTTAACCTCAACTCTCAAGGATGATGTTGACAGTATTGGTGAACTCAGCTTCTGGAGCAATTCCAGGTAGCATTTTGGTCAAGTTCACTTGACCTACTTGAGAGCTGCTCTGGCTCAGACTAGTGAAGTCTCTGACAGAGACTTCCTAAGAGTCCTACGTTTTAAACATACAAAAACATTGGCAATTAAAAGCACTAGGTGTCATTCTGACACAACACAAATCACAAAATCACATGTCTTCAGGAAATACTAATATTTTAAATCTTCAACTTTTAAATATGTAAGGGCAAAGGGATCAATTTTGTTAGATCCTGATCTCTGGTAATTCCAAATTGAAGACAGAAATATCTTATCTCAGTGCCTTACTTTGAAAGTAATATTCCTCTAACTTATGTAAATACAAACATGAATTAAATGTGAACTTTGGGGGGAAATGAAATCCAATAAATAGAGAAATTAACATTTTTATTCCTTCATTTTGTTGCCCAACATACGACAGAATTCCCTGGTATCTGTTTATGAAATATTTTACATGTTTATTTGAAATTGATTTTTTCCATCTCTCTGCAGTAGCATTTTCTAAAGCCACTGTTGATAGTCCTTAGTAATCATTAGCTTGGGGTTTAGTTTCAGCTGCTTTACCATACTTTGCTTGCTTCCTTATTAAATAAGATGTGGCAAACCCCTGAAGCCCTGTCAGAATGGCTTGAGTAAGTGTCTTTACACTATTGGATTTTTTTTTCCTCTGTGACTCATTGAAATTCTAGAGGATAAACCTGTTCATTGTTAGCCTTGTTTGTTTTTAATTTAGAAGCGTTAAATTACATTTTATTAAACTTCATTAGCTTCGCAAGAAAGCAATATGAGCGAACATAGCTAGCATTCTGCAAATCTCGTCTAAGTCACTTTATCTCATTGCTGGTAAACCAGTAAGTTTTTGTTTGTTTGTTTGTTTGTTTTTGCAGCTGATAATACTTCTTTCGAAATTTTGTCATATCATGATTGACGAATTGCTTGGATCTGCCCCTGTTTGCCTGTTGCTGTTTTAATATGTTGGTAGTGTTTGAATCTGCCACCTAGCATCTCTATCCCACCAGTTTCCTTGCTTCGAGCTGTTGTGACTAATGACAAAGTGATTTAATACTAAAACATTTTTTAAAATTCAAATGATGCTTAGGTGCTTCATTTGCTTGTATCTTCTGTGTGCTGCTGAATACTGATGCAACCCTCTCCCCTCTACACTCCAGGAAACATTATTATCATTCTAACTGACATATTAGTTTTTCCAAAACTTGAATCTTGTGTGTGAATATTATTTCTGTTGGGTCTTGTGCCAGGTGGGTCAGCAGATTTTCAGTCCTTTTGTGGCTTGTCATCATGGAAAATGACAAGTATTTCTTATAGAGCAGTCCTTGAGACATTGGTACAAAAGTGCCTGAGTATCATTTGGCTGCTTGAGAGAGAGTAAAGCTTTAAGCCTTAAATTAGCCTAATTCTGCTTGCCTCTTTGCAAGTTCTGATACATAGAATATTGGTATTTACTAGGAATTCTTAGAGTTAAGACTGAGTTAAGATAATGCACTATCCACAGTATTTTAGGAATGGATAGTAATCAGATAGGATTTTTGACATTTTAATGTCTTTCATTTGAAAAAGAATCTTGAGTCTGTACTATACCATTTCATCAACATGTGTTAAACATCATGTAATTGCCAGCTATGTGCTCTTACACAGTAAATTATCCTAAAAAGAATATGGATAGTCTTTATACTCTAGAATTTCCTTAATACTTTTAAACTGAAATAAAAATGTTCACTTTGTTTTCAAATAGTCATCCTGGTGACACTTTATATTGCTCACTCCACTTTCATAGTCTCTTGTATTGTTGATGGTTTTTTCCAACCACTTTTGACTAGTCCTAGTATGTCGACTTGGAATCATTTCCTTTAGTCATATTTTTCAAATTTATTTCTTTACTTATAACATGTCTACTAATAGATGTCAGAATGGCATTTTTAAACTCAAAAATATGACTCTTACAAATATGGAATGAGCATATGCCAAAGTTTCTTTATGTCATTACTTAATGTGAGAGCTACTTAAATGGTAAAACTGCTTCAAAATTACTTTAAATAGTACGTGGCCATTTTTGTTTGAAGGGGAATAAAGTTGTTAGGGTATTCTACCCTAACGTAATATCGACCTTTGGTAGTCTTTCCTAGTATAAGGGATTCGACAAGTGAACACGCAATTTTACAATATTTTCACTCAAGTATATTCTCTTCGAAATTTACTATTCCTTCAGTGGACTTGTTAAAGAGTGTTTCATTATGATCTTAATATTTCTGACTTCTAAGTCTTGAATAATTTGTTTTAACAACACTGTGCTTGACTCTTAGAAGTACTTGATTGACTCAAATGGGTAGGTGTAGTTTGATTGGTTCTTGGCTCCCTTCTCCAAGACCGTGCATGGGGGCACAAGGTGGAGACTCAGCACCACGCCATAGACTTCTAGCCAGTCATGAGCTTTCTCCCTGCTTCTTCTCCCTCTGCTGTAAAATGAGGAACTAGGATAAATTGATTAGCAAAATGTCTCCTTGTTTTAAAATGTCATTTTTTGTGTGTTTGTTTAAAAGAATGGGGTTAGAAAATGAAGAATACCTTTGTTCTTTATCTGGTATGTAGAGTTAGGCAACATTTCTTCGCTGGCCAGCCTTCTAGTCATCCACAATGTCTGAAAAGTCAGAAGAGTCTTGGCAATGCCTTCTGTTAGGGCCCTTGATCTGATTGGTTTATATAATTTATAGAATGTCACAACAATATTGGCTAACAAAAAATTACAAAACCTCAGTGGCATATTATTAACATTTCTTTTTTTTTTTTCTTGTAAGTATTCGTCAGCTGGGAAGCACTTTTGGTCTTGATTAAACTTGACTGAGTTCATTTTCTCTTAGCTGGGACACACTCATGTGTCCAGTCATCAGCTCACTTATGAGTGATCCATGATAGCTTCACTGAAATGATCGACTCTGCTTAAAAAAATCTCACCAGCTGGAATAACCGGTTAATGCACAGCACCATGAAGCTATCTTTTGCCATTGCAGCACAGCACAAGTTCAATCCCCAGCCAGGGAGGTGACCCACATGGCGCAGCAGACCTCTCCTGATCCACCTGCTGCTCCCCTCAGCAGTGTATTTCAGTACATCTGCCTGTTCTGCTCCCCACTCTGTCTCTGGTGAGTCCTCTCACCCCCCCCCCTTTCCATACATTTGGCCTGCAGCCCAGTTATTCTATGCAAAAATACATAAGTAAAATCTTAAAATATATTAAAAAAAAATCTCACCAGCATACTAGAGCAGCCTTATTATTGTGGTATTGGGACATATGTGAGAGAGAATATGGGAGGGAGCAAGCAAGCACTCTTAAACCTTAGTTTTTAGCTTTATATCAATTTTTATTTAATTGTCTCCACCAAAATTACGTGCCATATGCTAGTTTACAATTACTCGTGAGTTCATCCGTGACCTGCCTTGGTGAAATCCCCAGACACTTGCAAGGAATGTTTTCTAAATCTTTCAGACTACTTCAGTTTTGCGCTTTGTGAAATTTTTTTTCTTTCTTTTCTCAGTCATCCTGAAGTCATAGTTCACAAGTGTATGAGATATGATTGAGCACTTTCAGTGTTCTTGTTGTAGCACTGAAAAAATAAAAAACTTTCATTGTAAAGCTTTCATTGTAAAGTGAGCTTTCAGTTAATTGCATATCGTATTATCTTGAATTTTCCTATAGAATGGCTCCTTCTAATGCTGAACTACTTCTTGTCTCTTTCCTTTACTTCTCTGTCTCTTCACCCACCATTTACTTCACCAAATAGTAATGGGTAATGGTATAGGAAGTAATTACAACTACTTTAACTTTAACATAACTTAGAATAAACATAATTTAGGAGGAAAAATTTATTGCAAACCATCTTAATATATTCTGAAGTCATACATAATTATTTTGGGGTTTCATTTGAACTACTGATTGGATAGTGTATATTTGCCTATCAAAAGATAAGGGAATTAATTTTTAATATTTACCATACAACTATATTCAATATAATATTTACATATAAATGAATTTCAGGAAAATAGTAAATTGCATTTTGGTTTAAGCACTTTTTATTGGTAAATAGTTTAAACTCACATACTTATGTAAAGATATGATGGTACTATTTATATATGCCTGCTTCAACATTTTATTTAAAATGTTTTCTGTGGCATTTTATTTTTTGTGTGATGAAAAACTAAAATGGACCAGAATTTCCAGATTTTATAATAATGTATATAACTGCCTGAGCAAACTTATGAAAGTAAATTCCAGGGTTTTAGAAATTGAAACTTTTGGTGGTATTTTTTTTTTCAAAGATTTCATGTCCATGATAGTTATTCTATGCAGAAGAGTAGGTATGATTCTTGCCATTTATTAGACATACATATATAAAATTCATTGAATGCAAAAAATGTACCACAAGATATTGTTTATAGTAAATTGAACAGTTACACTATTATCATTAAGAACTCTTAAAACCAACCATAATCATAGTTAATAGCCCTATAATTATAAGCTTTCTACTGATCGAAATTCTAATTTCTTATAAATTTTAATTTCTTATAAGAAATTCTAATTTCTTACAAGATTTTTAATTTAGAGTCTCAACTTTGTACAAATTCTTTGTTAGCTGGGTATGTTCAAGCTTTTACATAAGCTGAATAACTGGTTTATTTTGGAAAGTTTATATCAGGGAAATAGTTAACTTTAATGATTTGATTCCTTTAAATTTTGTGTAAGTATACATAAAATTACATAACCAATCAAATATTAATATACCTTTCCAGAACACTAATGCCAATATGAATATGAGGAAAAGAACAAATGCCTTGGTTCACTCTGAATCTGATGCTGGCAACAAAAGTGAGGTGGGAAACCATTCGAGCAAATCCCCCACGGTTGTTCAAGGATCTTCTGGAGTCACACTGCAGTCTTACTTAGCTTCCAGCCCCAACCCATTCAGCCGCGCAAATGCAGATGAAACTATATCTGCTGCAAGAGCACGTCCATCTGGGCCTTCTTCTACTCCTAGTAGAACTGGGTATACGCCACAACAAGCTTCAGTTGGATCCGCTTCTACCCGCCATGTGTTTGGATCAAGACTGGAGCGAATTAAGACCACAGTTAATACCATGGGGGCATCTGGGAAGTTGTCAGCTGCTCCTCCCTCTGCTCCACCACCTTCTGGATCTGGCACAAGTAAAATAGACAAATACGCCCGCATTCTCTTTCCAGTAACGTTTGGGGCATTTAACATGGTCTATTGGGTAGTATATTTATCAAAGGACACTATGGAGAAATCAGAAAGTCTAATGTAATTTTGTTGCTATAGTTGTTTCCTAAAAGATAGAATTAATGCAGACTGTCTTTTTAAATGTTTTTTAAGATATAAATATTACTCGTTACTAAAATAAAAATTCGACGTGATTTTCCCCTTAAAAACAAGTCAAGACATTTATGGGAGAGTTAATTAGTTCCTCAATGAAATGAAAGTGAGCCATCTTTCATTTCAGAAAGGTGATTTAAATAGAATCAATTCAGCATTCAAATAAGATGGAATACAGACCATCCTGAAAATTTGAGAAAAGAGAATAGCGCTATTACAGATACGTGCTATCTATTTATGCATTGAAACTTGAAAGCAGATTGACATTTTAAATTATACTTTATGAATATCAACCCATCACCCTAAATTTTCCAGTGGCACTGCCCCTAATCAGAATTATTTATCGGATATCATATGTGGTGATCTTTGGACATACTCTTAGTACCTGCAAGAAAAGGACTTTCCTTGTTAAATTATTAAATGAAATATTTTTAAAAGGAATATGGAACAAAGCAAACACTGACCAGTAAAGTGAAACCGCTGCTGCATCAAAAACAGAGATCAGGGAAAATAAGTTCCCACTCACGTTTGCCAAATAGGACTTACAGTTGACTTGAAAATTTGTGCTCTGAACCAAAGTTTAACTTACTGTATGAATTCTTTTCGATAATAGTTCACTCAGTTATGTATTCTTTCAGCATATTTATTCAGCACCTACCATGTTCCAGGCACTAGACACTGTCTCTCTAGGAATGCTTTTTCACCTTTACCTGCAATATTGCTTAGGTGGTAGAACAGTCAATGCATGCTAATGAATCCTAGATTAGCCGAGGACATTGCCCTCTGTAGTGGAGGAAATGTATTAGCTTGAAAACATACTCAAAATATTTGTTTCTCCTACATTGGTAAAGATATTGTGAACGAGTATATATGTCACATCTAGTTCACATATTTGAGATAAGAAAACAATAATACAACTTCAGCAATTGACTTTCAAAATATAATGAAGATGTGATGTGGATTGTCCTCTAAGTGAAAAGCACTTTGTACCTGAGAGTAGAAACTGAGCACCTGATCAGTTGATAACCTGTCTCAAATTTGAACAGAATCATAGAAACATCAGAGTTGGGATTTTGATACACAATGCTTTTTTCCAGCTTAGTTCTACATTAGTTGTGAAATGATAAATTCCAAGAGAAGTTTTTGTGTACTTCTGGGCAGATTTGGTTTATTTTTTTAGGTGATTTTGTAAGATTTCATCATGAAGGTGAGTATTATAAAATTAAAGGAGCATCAAAGGAATGGGGTAAAGAAAAACATATACCCAATTTGTCATGCAATTTATCAGGATTTTCATGTGCTGACTTTTCTTTTTCATTAGGTAGGCTTAACAGTGGAATTGAATTTCTTGCAGTTGTCCCATATGGCTAACTCTAGGTCTGATTTTTTTGTTGTGGCGTTTCTTCCGGAGTTTCTTTCTCTTCCCTCATCTTAATCAAGGTTTGGTGAATGAATGTGTTTTGGAATTTTGGTGGGAGATCTTGATAGAAATGGCCACCTTATAAGCAGGATCTCTTATTTTAGAGAAGAAATGGTATTAATTGGCATTGGGCTTTTCAGTTATCGTCCATGAAACCTGTAAAATGTGTAAATGCCAAATATTAATTTTGAGTCATAACTGAAAATTCCTCTGGGCTCTCTCTCTAAGTATTGCCTACATTCAATAATTGCAAGGCAGAAAGATGCTTTAGAAACCCAGTCCAAAATCTCATTATTTATAAATTGATTTCATTAATATGAGGCCTGGTAAAATTTGTACATATGTATAAATTTAATAAAGAGAACTTGTACAATAAATCTCATCATAAAGTATTTCATTAATGTGAGTAGATTTCTGTATTTAGGATATGTTTGAAAATGTTATTAGAAGCTATTCATTATTCCAATGAAATATTTATTTGGTGAGAAACATAAACATTGCTTATATTTTGGCCAATTCTTAAGGATGACTTCATTGATTAATTTTTTAGATTCTCCTCTTATAATTTTTATAGATTATAAAGGGGCAAAAATAAATGATTTGGATTTGTATACCAGAAATCCAGGTCTCATAGTTTTTTCCTTACCTCTAAATATAAAGAAGATTTAAAAGTATACTAGGTAGTCAAGTACACACAAAAGTCAAAACTCACTAAGAATTTTTAATGGCTAATCAAAAAATAAATTGACTAGAAAGTCTAATTAGTTCAGAAATGAATTGTTTCATTTGCATGTAATGATAATAGTATATAGTTAATTTCCCCTAACTTAATTTTTTCAAATTAATTCAAGATGAACATTTTTATTTTGGTCATTTTTTTGTCTTTCCAAAAACTCATAAAAACACTATTATGAAAAGCCAGTCACTTTTTCCATTAAAAATCTCACAGGAGTTAATAGGGGAGCCCAAGTCATGGAGTTTGTGAGGAATAATTCTGACTTAACGTTGGTACCTTTACATGTCTCTGTCTTTTAAAGATAAAGTACAGAATTGATTTACTCAGTACCAGAGTCTGTGATCTAACTTTCAACTCCAAGTTTGCCATTAACTGCTACTTAATTACTTCCAGTTTCCTCCAGGCATTTCTAGGTAAAATAATTTATTTAAATGAATTATCCATTGTTTTAAATAACTTAAACTTGTATATATACATTGTAATTTGAATAATGTATATATTAAATTGGACTCCACAAACCTGGAGTTAGCATAGACTCATCCTCTATTTCAGAAGAAAATGAGTCATTGAGAAGTTAATGACAGATATGAAAGCTGGAATGAACTTTAAAAGATCATTTTTCAATCACCTCACCAATGGCCATATTTCAAGAAAAACAAACAAAAACAAAAACAAATTGTGAGTAGTCAAATCAGCTTGGTCTAGAAATAAAATGGGAGAAATAAAACTCGCCTGTTCCCCACTCCTCTCCACTTCTGTATTTGTGAATAATTCCTGGGGGAAGCACCAATTGAATAAATGGGTCATTTGATTATAAGGCTTCACTTAACTTCTCCAGGTTGATTCACTACTTACAGTAGATAGGGAGAAGTAAATAATATTTTCTTTCATTTTTAATCTCCGATTCCCATAGTTTATTACATATTGACATACTCAATATTCTTGCAATAAAGATATTTAATACTTTGTCCACAGATAGATATTTTAGAGAAAAAATGATTTTACTTTATTGGTTAATTATTTTAAGTTAATGACATGTTTCAAATTATAGTTTCTTTAACTTAAAAAATATGATCTCTCCATTTAGATGAAATATATTCTTTTCCATGGAAGATTGTTTTATTCTTTAAAGATTGAAGAATATTTCATCTTTTGGGGGTGAAAGGGTTATTTCTCCTTACTAAATAAGCTCCTGTCCAATGTTGGGAACTATGCTCTGCTTAGATATACACAGATTTATGAAATAGTTTCCTTTCCTTATAGACAAAAAACTATAGGTGTAGTAAGTGCTTCAAAATGCAGAGTAGGCTGAGACTAGGGTAATGTGTTACCTGCGTAACAAAAAAATACAGGGGGTGAAATCTTCAATAGTCAAGACAAATAATATTTTTAAAGGAATATTTTTAAAAATGAAAATTCATTTAAAATCTACTATGAAGAAAACATTCAAACTTTAAAGAATTATGGGATCAATCTTAATTTTTTTTTACATAGGTTCTAATATAGGTCAGCATGTGACTGATCAGGAGGGTTATTAAAAGGATGCAAATAATTTTAAAACGTTGTTAAAGGGCAATTCAAAAGAGTGATGGCAGGGATGATGTCACAGAGAATGTATTGAATGGAATTCTGTAGAATAATATGGACTTTGAGTCCCTTTACCTATACCAATAAACAAATCAACAATGAAAATATACTTTTACCACCTCCTGAAACATTAATAGAGATAGAGACTTGGAACTTAAAGTTAACTCTTAGAAATAGTTTAGGTTAGTGGGAAGGGAGAGTGATATAGGGAATTGAGAGCCAATGTTGGAAAGAAATGCTGGGGTTGGATTAGGAGTCTTACGTAAATTAAAAAAGAAATTGGATATGACCCTGTGTTAGTGTCAATTAATGGAAAATCAAGCAGGATAATAAGATAACAATGAACATATTGAACCTGTTATGCTTCTATTTTAGAGAAATCACTTGAATTCTGTATGAGTTATGGATTGAAGAATCATAGATCTAGAAGTTAACAAGAAAATTGAAATATCTCATTTTTTCTTTTTTCTTTCAGGTAATCTTTTTCGTTCATTTTTTTTTAATTCCAATGACTTCATTGTCATTTGTAAAAAGAATACATGATAGTAAAAAAAATAAAATAGGCATGGGAGAAATTTAATAACAAACTTAAAAATATATTACCCAGAAATTTTTAATATTTCTTGAATATAAAGTCAGATACTTTTGTATAGATATGTTTGTATATAAAGTAGACTATCTGATTAAGGGACAACATTTTATAAATGTAAGAACCAAATATGCTATTAATGAATGTTCACTAATAATTTTAGAAACACCACATTTAATTTTATTTCAATTTAAGATAAGAATACTAGGGCAAAACTGAAAAATTTGTTGACGTTTAAGTCATGATTAGTAAGAGCAAGAAATTTGGGAGACTATGTCTTCTAATCCCAGATTTCAAACTTTATTTTCAGGAAAAATTTCCTGTTGTATATCTAAATACTTTTCTTTAAGAATGCTAATAGTGTTAAATATCTTTTACTCTGTAGTAAAGTTTTCTATTTTTCCATTGTTTTTGTCAGTACCATTTTGTTTTCTTATTTCAGATGTTTTTGTAATCTCTTGATTATATCATTTATAATTTAAAATAAATATAATACAGATATAAATAATTTTAATTGCATAATTCATATTTCTTTACTGAAATTACAAATTTTTGAGCTTCTCACTCTTTTAATATGCTCATATTTGTAATTCATTAAAGACTACAGAGAACTATTTATATAAACTTTTCCTCTGATTCCTGAAAAAAGTTTTTTCCCTAACATGAACTTCATCTGCATTTCATTGTGCTCTGTGTTTTTTGCCTGTGTTCTTGGCTGCTTTTTCTCTATAAATCACTGAACAAAGCCAACTATTTACTGAGCTATAGTGTAGGAAGTGGTGGCTGAATGAATCAGATGAGCCCACAGCAGCTATTTAAATTCAGATTTAAAGCCCACCTCCCCAAATCTGTTTTATCTTCTGCCCAGGGAGCACAGTCTCTATTTTTGACTTTGGGGTGAGCTGTGTGACTCCAGTGTAAAGTCTCTACGATGTTAGTGCTGTAGTGATGAATGCTCCTTCTCCCTGCCACTTCCCACTTTAATTCTAGTAGTCTGTGTTCTTCAACATGTTGGTTCCCAGCTATCAAATGTAACCTATCAACAATTACTTTCTGCAGAGTCTGTCATTTGAAAATTTATAGCTAAAGTTTTGTGAACAGTACTTTTCTTTCTTTCCTTTTTTATGATCTATAAACATGGCTGTTTCAATCTTTGAAATATGTCTCAGGACAATGACACTTATTGTCATCTATGTCCTTTTCAAAGTATGTCCCAATTTCTGTTCTCCTGTTAGTGCAAATGTTTCCCTATTTTAAGGCTATTTATTAATCTATTGTTAACTACTTGAATTATAAGAATGTTTTTAATTTTCCTCAATTTTTTTCACTATTTATGCTATTTTGGCAGGAATTTTTAAGGCAACGTGTGAATTACCAATGCCTTTTATTTTACAGTTTTAAGCTGATCCACCACCTATTGTTTGTACACTCAGGAGACCAGCAGTTGGCCAAAGTATCTTTGACTGACAACCACAGCTACTACCTGTTTGTTTATCAGGTATCAAAGGAATTAGGTTAAATCTAGTTTAAGCTGTAATAATACAGTCTAAAGAAACATTTCTCTTCTGGAGAAGGAAAATAAACTAATAACAGTAAATAAATATTATTGCAGTTAACCTTTGAATGACACAATTTTTTTTAGTCTTTTGTATTTGTGAATTGTCATCTGCATCTATCTTCGGAAATTTTTGCTTATTGTTTACTGTCATTTACTGATTCTGTATACTGTTTCCTAGCTCAAATATACAATTGACCAGTGCACCAATTCTTTGAGATACATGTAAGTTATTGTTGATTGATAAGCTAAGGTTTTATGATTTTTTTTAAAGATTTATTTATTTATTCATACAGAACTGGGGTACAGGCCAGAGATGCAGAGGGTGAGAGGATTCACCAGGGACAGAGTGGGGCGCAGAACAGGCAGATCGACGCAGTACACTGCTGAGGGGAGGGTCAGGAGAGGTCTGCCTCGCCATGTGGATCTCCTCCGGGGCAGGCGGGGATCGAACTCGCGCTGAAGTGGCTTAAGCTTCTTAGTGCAGTGCTTTAACCCGCTGCGCCACCAGGGAGGGTCCTAAGGTTTTATGATTTTAAGGGAACTTGTAAAATGAATCAAAATTCAGTCTTCATGCAAAGCCCTTCTCTGGCACAATTTTGAATGGTCACAGTGAATAGTAGAGTAGATTTTCCCTGATTTATACTTATTGTTGAAAATCCCTTGACAACTTTATGCTAAAAATGTTGAGAATTAAAGGAGAAATAAAGCATTTTATTTATTTTTTAAATTAGTGTTACACAAACTAAAGAATTAATTTTATCTGCCTGCCATTTAATTTTTATTTAATTTTACAATTGAAACTTCTTATTTTGGAAGCAATGAAAAAGAAAAATGCATATTTCAATGTCATAAAAACTAAATTGTTATCCTGTGAACTGTATTATACTTGCTTAGCCAGAATAACAAAATAATAAAGTGTGATATTTAACTGTTCAAAATTTGGTAAGATATACAGGTCTT